TTGAAGAGCTTAGGATGAAGGATGATGAGACCTTCGATGACTTTTATGTGAGTTTGAATGATATTATTAACTTAGATTCAACCTAGGTGAGAGAATTTCTGAACCTAAGATTGTCAGAAAAATCCTTAGTTCATTACCTGAGAGATTTAGGCCTAAAATCACTGCTATAGATGAGAGTAAGGACATAAATATTATTAAAGTTAAAGAGTTGGATAGATCTCTCCAGACTTATCAACTAACATTAGCTAAACCTACAAAATATAAGCCTTTAGCCTTGAACACCATTGTAGATAACTGTAATAAATTCTTTGATTCGGAGTTACCTAATGATGAGGAGATAGTTTATTTTGCTAAGAAATTTTGAAAAATGTTTAGAAATAAGAAGATGTCTCAAGAGAGATATAGAGATGCTTCCAGTGAGTCTAAAAAGAGATCCCAATCCGTGAGATGTCATAAGTGTAAAGGTTTAGCCTTTATTGAAGTGAGTACCCTAAGAGTAGAAGAAATAATGATAAAGCTATAAATGTTACTCTTATTGATGACGAGTCTAACTCGGACAATCAAAGTGAGAAGTCCATTCAGGACGAGAATGGAAAACATATGGCCTTCATTACTGGTATTATGAGTGAATCTAATAAGGAAAGCGAGAAGGTTGAAAATGTGGACGGTAGTGAGCAATTTGAGGAGGATTTTGAGGATGGGGAAGACATTCATAGGCTTATGATAAATTACATGAAGAGAGCCTTAGGCTATTGACTACCAATAAAGCTTTATGTACGAAGGTCAAAGATCTTAAGTTAGAGAAAGTGAAACTAATAGCCGACATTTAGAAATCTACCTTATCCCTGAGTAAGTTGAACTCTGTGAATGAATCTTTAGATACTCGGGTTAAGAATTTTATGAGTGATCTCGAGAAGTCCTTTGGGAGTCTTAGTAAGTTGAGCGTTGTGAATAAGTCTCTAGAAAATAAGGTTAAGACCCTTATGAGCGATCTTGAGGATTTTAACACCCAACTCCTTATATTCTCTAGTGGTTCAGTGAAGCTTGATAGCATCTTAGGAATGGGCAAGCTCGCTAATAATAGATGAGGTCTAGGATATAAGTAGAATGATCACAATACTGCTAATACTTCTAATACCGTTTTTGTTTCTGTCACTGACAAGCCTAAGTATGTTCCTAACCCTGAACCCAAGAATAAGGGAATTGTAAGACAGAGGCTTACTAGAAAGCGTAGGACCTACTAATCTAGGAGTAGAAATCAGGGATCACATAACCTTTGTCCTAAATTTATTCCTACCTGTTTCAATTGTGGAGAGTTAGAACATACAATGCCTGGGTGTCATAAATTTCTAAATAGAAATAAAAATCAAAACTTCAATAGAGACAAAAATCAAGATTTTGATAACTGGATTGACTTTCTAATTAATCAGGTGAGCCAATTGATCAAGTTAATGACACAGTTGACTAGGATTAATACTTCCACTAGACAAGTCTGGGTGAAGAAGAATGATCTGAAAAATTTGAAAATAGATCATGGCACTCTTAAATGTAAGAGCGCTTGAATACCTAACTGATTAGGCATTCTCTGATGCATGCTTGTGCTTATTTATTGTGACTTATTCATTATTACATGTATCTCATTTTTGTATTTGCTTTATAGGTAGTATGTTCATGTACGTGAATCTTCTGAATCTTCATCGGGTTTGCATTGGCACGTGCATTTTTTCGTTTTGTGTGTTGAATTTTTTATTTTGTGTGATTGGTACATTCATGTTTTGACAAAAACTAAAACTAAAAATAAAAATAAAGGAGGGAATGTTTCAACTATAGCATTATATATGTAGAACTTGAAAATGCGTATTGTGTCAAAGTATGAGTTTAATTGATGTGTTGTAACATATTTTTCATTACTTTGTTTAGATTTATGGAGTACTTAGTATAGGTTTTTTTTTTCATGTACCATCCGCACTGCACACATTATGACATTGTAGTGAGATTGGACCACGTATGTGAGCTTTGGGATGGCAATCATATGTTGGTAAGGTGACCTTGAACATGAATTGACCTTATTTTAGTATACATAAGCTCAAGTATATTCTCTTGAAAGAAAGAACTCAATATCTTATGTACTTCTTCGAAGCCTATTTGGCTCGAGTAATTAAGCCCGAAGGGTTTCTCATAACTTGGTACCTAAGTCACTGTCTTGGATTAACTTGCCTAAAGTCTATTACAGGGGTCATCTTGGTCGCTTAATGAAGAAGAGCCTACATATAAGATGTGAAAAATTGAACAGAAAAATGATAAGCTTGAAAATGTAGACATTTTGTAAAAATATATAAGCTCAAAGTCATTGGGAAAAAAGAATAATATACATGCAAACTGAGTTTCTTGTATAAGTCCTAATATGTTATTATTGGTTTGACTTGCATAAGTAGAGGGATAAACTTATTTACAGTAATGTTTAGCAAGTCATTTCTCATAAAATTAAGATTTGAAATTTTGCTTACGAAGGATTAGCGACACTTTATATATACGAGTCACTTATACAACTTATTCCATCATAACTTGAATTAAGTATATGAAAATTTTTACTTATCATTGACTATGCTTGTACATGCTATCAACTGCATTTCTGAGTTATTGTATTTGATATAGTCCCCTTAGTCATTTGTCACAAAAAGGGGGGGAATAGAGAGATTAGAGTGCATTTTAGGGAAAGTTTGTAGTAATGGGAAGATAAAGTGGTGTAGTACATTCCTACTACAACTAATAATTTTCTACTATTCCTACTACAATTATGTTTTATCTTTTCTAGAAGTTTATCTTTTCAATTACAATTTATCCTTTTATAAGTTTTCTTGTATAGTTATGATAAAACTTTTTATCTTTTATTTAATTAGAATTATAGTTTCAATTTCCTAATACTATTAGAAGTAGGGAATAATTTTGTCTATAAATATAGAAGCATTGTACACTTTTCAACAACATTAAATTATTATTCAATTTATACGTGACATGATTGTTCAATTATTGTTTTTATTTATTATGTAATTTTTATTATGAGAATTTCATAACGCTTCTACACCATAAAGCATTCTATATCATAATGCATAGTTTATTTAAATTTTGATGTTTTGTGATATTAATGTCTCAGTGTTGCTTTTATTTACACTAGTATTACTTTTCAATCTAGCTAGCATATTTATAATAATGTGTTCAATTATTATATTTCCTATTTTACGTGCTTTTACACTTGGTACTTGAATCGTTGATTTTAGGAAACATGTTCAACAATAATGCAAGAGACATTCATTCAGTTTGTCTGGGGTAGATTAGTTTTTGTTTTTACTTTCTTGACTTATATTGTATAGTTTTGTTACTGAATGTCAAAAGGAGAGATTTGTTAGGATTTAATTGTATTTGGAAATTATTTAAACAAAATGACTAACATAAAAAGTTGTAAAAGTCAACTAGTCAATTGAAATGTTGCATAGATGAACTAGGTATCTTAGCGTATGAGTTTGGGACAAGGAGGAAAGAGTCGTTGAATTTATGCTAGCTTATCGTCCATCTGATGCATAAGCCAAAAAAATAGAAATATTGTTTCCTACCTATCGCCCAACTGTCGCTCGAGCTACACACCGATCGCTCACCAGTTGCTCAGTAGTGTTAGGTGAAACCCTAATTCACTTTTTCAAGAGTTTTATTCAATCCATGCTACTTATTTACCTTCTACTATATATACTCAAGCCCTAGTACATTTTTGGTGTGGTTGTTCATTATATTCCTTCTCCATAGCATTTTTCCAAGATTCAAGAACACTTATAATCCTTAGATTAATTCTTTGATTCTTGAGTACCACAATTTTGGGAAAACATCGAATTCATATAATCCAAAACACATATTTTCTATACACATATAGAAATATACTTTCTCAATAGCGTTCAGAGATTGCTGAAGATACATGTTGGACCAAAAGCACTGGAAAATTACAAGACCAAAATATTCTTGATGATCCACAGGAGATATATAATTTCAAAAGATCGGGAACAAGTGTAAGTGAATCACATTCCAGTGGGTCTTGGAAATTGCAGGATTAGGTCAGCGAGTCTAGTGGGTTTTCTAGGCTAAATCGTACTGCAAGTTCATTATTATTTATAGTGGAGGATACTGGCTTGATCCTGAAGTTTTTATTTATTTACACTCTTTAAAAAAGTTTGAAAGTATGATTGCAATTTATTCTAAAACTTTTTTTTTTGTTTTATTTAAATAGGGGGTATATTTGTCATTTTACACAAGAAAATTGATGAAAATGATGATTTTCGCAATAAAATGTAAATGTAATGGTAAAAATGTAAAAAAATGAAAGATATAGACGTTTTGCACAATAACATTGAAAAGTATGGACGTTTTGTGCTAATTAACCATTACCTTATCATCAAATAAGTGACTTAATGTTTTTAACTTTCATCAATTAAAAACTTATTTATACATACTATGCTTTCATTTATAACTTAGAAAATGCTACTATCAGTCTTAATGTATGTTCCAATTATTTTTGTTGGCTTCAGTTTCTACAAGGGTAACATGGCCAACAAATTCCATCTTCTAAAAAGCTTGTCTTAAATTTATCTAGGCTAACGACTTTAATTGTCGTCTAATCATGCTTTAGAATATTGTTAAAAAGATGCGAGCATATAAAATTATGAAAACTAAAATTTCGTTCCATTACATCATATCAATCAAACGACAACTCAAATAATATCGGATCACGGTCCACAATTACCCGGGAAAGATCCGACCCGCTACAGAATTTGGCGTTTAACCAATGTCTACAGTAAGTAAATGCCGTTTGATGTTCAAACTCTCGTCAAGTCCCGTGCAACCGTCAACCGCCGTTAAATCTCCGTTTCTGTTTCCTCACATAAATCTCGACGGCCTATAAACGGCACCGTCACTGACGCCCTAACAAGTATTCGTTATATACGAAAAATATATAAATATTTCCTTTTTTATTTTCTTCAACATCCAACGGACATGGTCTTTTCGCGATATGAAACGCATAATTTTCTCTCTCTAAAAGTGAGATTTTGTGTTTCTTGGGGCTCTAGAATCCGTGAGCTCGAGTTTTAATACATTAGGTCAGTTGCCGTAGTTTTTATTTTTTTTAGATTGTTAAATTTCAATTTTTTAACTTGGTTTTTGATCAATTTAAGTATTTTTTTTGTTTTTGTTTTTGTTTTTTTACGCTTAACTAGCTCTTGATGAACTGGATTTATTTTTCTCGGGATTTTTATTATTATTATTAGTAGTACTTGTTTATGAGATCTGTGGGTAGCTTAATCTTATCATTGGTGCTAATAATATTTAGTTAAGATCGGGTTTTTATGGGTTTTGACTGAATACCTTCAAAAGGTTTTGTTACGTAGAGGCAATTGAAATTTGATATTTATTTATTGGATTGGTGAATTTTCAGTTTAGGAAGTCTGGGATTTGGAGGTGTGATCAATTTGAGGGATTACATGGCAGAAGTGAAACCAGAGGATGTCTGTCCTGATAACAAGCAATCAACAACTGTTACGAGATCTTCTGTTTCCGAGAATAGTGGCAGCGCTGCACTTAAGTCACCGGGTATAAGTAGTCCGACAAGTATATCTCCATCTCATAGGTAATGTTTTAATGACTTGTTAACTATGCTCATTTTGAATGAAATATTTGTTACTGTATCTTGTGAATTAGGATTCAATTTGCTTTTCAGTTTTAGTTTCTGTTCATGTACCGAAGTTTACTGTTTGGTTTGATTGTATAATCTCTTCTGTGCTGAATGAATGTACTTTTCTTTGAGATCTATTGCTTTGTCCAGTACTTTAATGGTTATTGCATATTGAAGGTTGCACTACATTCAAACTGTGTCCTATGATGGTTGTGTTTCTTCATTATGTTATGGATTAATGTTTGTGAACATTGATGAAACTAGGACTTTCTGAAATATATTTATTTATCATTAAGTAAACCCAATAGAAGCATAATGGGAATGTTTTCTCATGTAAATGGATGATTTAACAAATATTATTGGAGAGGATGCTCTCAGTGGTAAGATGCTATTATCACCTGCGAGGAGCGCCTGTTTCTTCATTGGCTTACTCTTTTGCTCTCAAGATATGAACTCACTTTCATCTGACAATAGATTTATAGATATTTTGCATGCTAATTGATCTTCTTACTAACTTGAAATTTTGACACGTGTATACACGTGAACAACATTCTTGAAACAAGGAGTATCTGAAATAGATTTTTTATTGTAGAGGATGCTAGCTATGTTAAGATGCTATTATCACCTGTGAAGATTGCTTGTTTCTTTATTTGGATCATTCTTTCACTCTCAAGAGATTGACGTCACTTTCATCTGACATAGATTTATAGATATTTTGCAAGCTAATTGATCTTCTTACTAACTTGAAATTTTGACACGTGTATACACGTTTGTTCAGTTTAACATAACAGTTCACACCTTAATGTATTTTTCCTGTACTTTTTGATGTAGCATTTATTGACTTCATACACTAGAAGCGCATTAGACAACCACTATGTGCTTTGTACAATTTTTATGATTTTTAAGCCATGGGCAGATGATTTGAAATTCATTGACATATATATGGTTTTTAGGAGAACTACTGGTCCAATTAGAAGAGCAAAGGGTGGTTGGACCCCAGAGGAGGTAATAAGTTTTCTTCAGAAATGTGTATTTATTGTGCAGATACCAATGAATTATGGAGGCATTTATTTTAGTTTCATACTGATGATGAACGAATTCAATGCTTGTTTTTAAAACAATTACACAACTTTAACTCGATATTTTCTTTGTTTTGGTTAATTTATTTGTCGCTTGAGTTTAACTTACACATGTGAGAAACTCAATTAAATTTTCCTGTTGTCTTATTCATTTACCACATTTTCTTTAATATCTTCGTTTTCTCCAAGTTGTATATGTGCTTGACTGGGGTCTGTTTTGCCCCAAACTATCACTTCCATGTTGTTCTGCTCATGATTAATGGAACTCGTGAATATTTTCTGCAGGATGATACTTTAAAAAGAGCTGTTGCAGCTTACAGAGGAAAATCTTGGAAGAAAATAGGTACAATTTGTTACTCTTTAATCCATGATACATTTTGTAAGAAATGACCTATTGAATGTGAATTGGATGTGCAATTTTTTATTGCTTTACAATCTTGTAGCAATACTTTCTATATTTTACATCATTTGTTGTTCAAGGAAATTATTTATTGCGGAACTTACAGTGGGTGTTTAAGGTGGTCATAAATAAATTTTTCGATACAAGTATGTCTAGGTTTGTGTTTTATTTCAACAGATGCTGTAATGTGATAGCAAAATTAGAGCCGAGTGGCCAAGGATGATTCATGTAGTTGAACCCACATTTTTTGGGAATAAGACTTAGTTTATTCTTCTTCTTGTCACAGTGATAGACTAGGCCATCTCAGAAATTATTGACATTTGGTTTTAGTCAGTTGTTTCATTATGTTAAAATATTGTTGAATGGAACAAACTTATATAGTACAGGAAGTAGGCGTTACATTGGAGTTACACCTCCTATTTGCCTAATTTGGAACGTCTTTAACATTTTGCATTCTTAAGTTTCAAAATTTATGGTTTACTTGATTGGAATCTTCCAAAATTTTTTGTCTAAAGATTCCAAATATATTGTTGTTGTATCTCAAGTATATATATCCAGAATTCATCCTTGGTCAGAAACATTTTCATTCCATCTTGATACTCTTTTCAACTCTCCTTTTAAGTCATGCTCGAAGAATATATCCTGTATTAACACTCAGATTTATGCAGCCGAATTCTTTCCAGATAGGTCAGAAGTACAGTGCTTGCATAGATGGCAAAAGGTTCTCAATCCAGAACTTGTTAAGGGTCCATGGACTCCCGAGGTTGACAGCTAGTTTTCTTCTCTCTTTTATTGACATTTTTCATGTCAATTTGAAATGCTTTGTTTTGATGACTTCTCGTGTTTGTGATTTCAAATTCATATTGCTTTCTTTATTTACAGGAAGATGAGAAAATTGTGGAACTGGTGGCTAAATATGGACCTACAAAATGGTCTATTATAGCAAAGTCATTACCAGGTCGAATTGGGAAACAATGCCGTGAGAGGTAAAGTAAATAAAATATAACTATTATTATAACGCTCAACAGTGCCAGTTGATTTATGACAGATTGATCATTGTTCCACCATAAGTTCGTTTATTTTTAGTTTTATTTTTGACGAGTGTATTTATTTTATTGATTGGAGCGCCTTTTTGGGCCAATCACTCTTTTGATGCTATTGCTATGTTTCTCAAGATGATACTCACACATTTACCTATTAATATGTATATGCATAGAAAGCATTTGAAAATTGAATGCTATGCAGTGAACATTACTTTTTTGTTTTTCTTTTTTTCTTTTTTTTTTCGTTTAATTTATAATAGGGACTCTGATTTTCTGAAGTTCTTTTTATTTATCTTTAATTATTTTGATTTGTTTGTTCTTGAAGTAGAAAGTGTTTTCTAACAAATTTCAGGTGGCACAATCATTTGAATCCAAATATTAAGAAGGATGCTTGGACTTTGGAAGAAGAACTTACTCTACTGGGTGCTCATAGGACTCATGGGAATAAATGGGCTGAATTAGCAAAGCTACTACCTGGAAGGTACTGTTATGCATGCATGAAAATTTATATACGAAGAAAGTAAGATCTATTTTGTTGAGCCACATAATGAAGCTCGCACCTAGATTGTGGAGAGTGCATTACAGCTTTCATATGGGAACTTCTAACCTTAAAGCTTCATCTAATTTCATGGTCACCTACTCGTTTAAAAAGTCAGAATGAAATAACCTTTACTATTTATATCTAATTTTAGCATACAAGATTATCTTTCTGTAGATAGATATAAAAATCCAAAATGAGGAAGAAAAGGCCTTAAAGGCATGGATGGAGGCCTGAGGTTGGACACCCTCCTCTCTCTCCAAAGGATAAAAAGATTTACATTTCACCTTTAAAATTCATGAGTTCTCATATTGATTTATTGTAATTTCCATCTCATTAGTAAGCATTTGTCTCATTCAAGCCTTTGTTTTATTTTTTACTTTTGTGATACTCAATTTTAATTTATACCATATTTTCTGCACAAGTTAATTTGGTGTTTAATGTTTTTTCAACCCACATTTTAATTATTTTTGAGATTTGTTTTCTCGTAAATCGAGTTTGGCATTCATCTCAAGCACCATGCCTGTCCCGCAGATTCTTCTACTGATGAGTTAAGAATGAAACTTAACTATTGTACCTTCCAATGATGTTCCTGAACATCCTATCATTTTTCAATGAATTGATGTTTCGCCGAAAAGAAGAATTTTCAAAACATGTTTTGTTTTACCTGGGTGGAAATATTTTTAAGTCGCTTCTAAGTTGCCACCATTTTGATGCTTTTGACTTTTGATATGTTTACTAGTTGGTTGCATTCTTTGCATTGGAGTTTGCATGCCCCATTCACACAAAAGAATGGTTATTGTGGAGTGTTGGAACAGTTTGGTATAATTGTTTTTCCTTACATACACACACACACGCACACTTTCTTTTCAATGTGTTATTTGCTATTAGCTACAACTGTAATGAAGTTCCCAATGTGCAAATAATTGGACTTTCTTCATTTTGTACTACGATGCTGCTGTTGGAAGTTGGAAGCAGATGAGTTAATTTTGTCTCCATAATATGTAGGTTGAGGATGTAAGTGAAGATCTGAATGTTGTAAATTGAAAAGAAACATCCTGAATCTTATTTATAGGAAGTGGTTTTAGCACTGAAGTTGTTTCTGTCCAAATACCCTTTAGAATGCTTTTACCTAATTCTTTTCTTCTGCATATTTGATGAAAGTAATTTAAAATTTTGAGATCATTAATAAAGTAGTTGGAATAAGACTTCCTTGAGATGAACTTTTATTTGTTCTTCAGTTTTTCTCTCCATTACATCCATAGCACCTTTTGGGTTGATTTCTTGTATAGGAGTAAACAAATATTTTTGCTTGTTTTATGCCCTTGTTTGAGCCCCATTTTTCAATAATATATTTTTCTTCAAACTCATTTTCAACCACACATTCTCTTAATAAAATGATTTTACATGTAAAATCTAAACTTTTCCTTACTTTTCAACCACACGTTCTCCAAAAAATCAATATTCCAAAATCTATTTTTACCAAATATTGGGGCTCAAACAAGGGCTATATTTCATGGAAAAGGACATTGCTTGACATTAAATGAAAAAGGGTTACAATCTCTTGTTTCTTGCACACAGAATGTTGGTATGGGCAATTCTTGTTTGTAATGGGCTTTAATCTGTGCAGGACAGATAATGCAATCAAGAATCACTGGAATAGTTCTTTGAAGAAGAAGTTAGATTTCTATTTGGCTACTGGGAACCTTCCACCAGTTACTAAGAATGTTCCCCAAAATGGCAGTAGAGTTGTAAATAGAACAGTTTCAATTGGAGAAGATCTTGTTTGTGCAAATAAAGGACCAGATTCGACCGCCTTAGTTTCATCAGGAGCTGTAGATACATGTAAAATTGAAGATGGGAAGGATAAGCTAGAAACTACTAACGAAGTTCATGATAGAGCTGGATCATCTAGTGATCCCCGGAATGAGTCTGCTGATCTTGAAGGTGCTACATTTGAGTCAATGACATCGGAAGTAAATCCCGTCAATTCAAGTACAGAATGCAGGTTTGAGAGATGTGGAGCACGTCGTGTAGTTGATCAATACAGAATAACTGAAAGCTCATTGCACAATAATATTCCTTTATATGGGACACTATATTATGAGCCACCAGAAATAGATTCTAATCTTCCAAATATTTCTCAGATGCACTCTGAATCAGACATTAGTCCAATAACGTCTCCCGTGACTTTCTTCACTCCACCTAGCATGGAAGGAGGAAATTTGTTTGCACAGACTCCAGAATCCATATTGAAAATTGCTGCCAAAAGCTTTCCTAATACACCATCCATATTGCGAAGAAGAAAGTCTGGAAGTCAGTTATCTGCACCAGTGAGTAAAAATTGCCGGGTAGATAGGGAAGCATTTGAGGAAACATGTCAATCTACCAGTGAGTATGATCGTAATCAAATGAATAGTCCAAAGAATATGGAGTTACAAGAGTTGAGTTTGCATAGAGATCTTTCTGGCGAAGTTGACATTGGATTATGTAATGGCAAGTCCTATAATTTATCTCCTCCATATCGGTTAAGATCCAAAAGGACTTCTGTTCTTAAGTCTGTCGAGAAGCAGCTTGAATTTGCATTTAACATGGAGCAAGAGGGCTGTGACCAAAATATTAAGTCTGAGGATTCAACGGTCAGAGGAATCCCTCCTGTAACAAAGTTCGTCTATACCCGTCAGAAACGGTTATGAGTGAGAATGGCAATGTAAGTATCGTCCTGCATTCAGCACAACTAACTGATTTTTTCTTTTGTATGAAAAAAATAATGACATTATCAACAAATATGCTGTTGCTGATCTCTTATCAACAATCATTATTTACTCCATTTGTTGTTTTTGTTTGTGTGTGATCAGCTAACAAGGGCTGGAAATTGCTAAATTTGATCAAGAACTTGTAGAAATGGCAGCTGAACTGATTAAAAGTGAAGATTTGATGCGATCAAGATAACACTTTTAAGTTATAACTACCAGAAGCATACAATCTCATTCTTGAAGATAAACTGGAGTTCATGTTTGGTACGTCTTCACTTTTACCATCTTAGCCTCTCGGTAAAAGCACTGGGAATGCTAGGTTTCATCATTGTATTCATGAAAATATCAAGATTCAATTGATTTGTACAGAAACCCCTTTATCAATGGAAATAGGAATGTTTTTATATTCATAGCATAGTTCTTGGAATACATAATCTTGTTCTTCCAAAACTTAATTAGGTTGAGACTTGAGAGCTTATTTAAATTAATAAAATTGTTGAAAGTTTGATAGTATGTATTGCATTCTCCTATTGTTCTTATTGGTGCTAACTTCTGATCCAAGTATGAATTCACATACAGTGGACGAGTGGCTGAGCCACCTTTTGTGTGCATGTAGCATGTTGTTCCTACTTTGCTGCTTCTGATTTTCCGAACTTTTTCTTTATACATGTGATTCCTCTCTAATGATCATACAAATGTTATTTAGGTTGTTCATGTAGTCTCCAATGCCAAATTGCACTGTTATTTTGAATAATTGCAGAAAATTTTGAAAATCATGAAAAAGTCTTAAAGTTCCTGAGGTTGTATATTTACATTTTGTGGGTATCAGTATAACTTCTTTACAAAATTATGAGTGGGGTAAAATTGTTCAATCCATATCTCAATTTTGGGAGGAATTTCTTTGAAGTCTTATATTTTTCCTTGTTAATCTGAGCGATCTTTGCGTTGTTTGTAAATGAGCTGTCCAGAGATGAAATTACAGGTGAACCTAAGAAATTGATCTACCGAATCCAAGTAATTCGATTAAACACCACAATTAGAGCATGTTTTGCTAGCTTATAAGGTACTTGTAAACTTGGGAGCAGGGTAAAGCCAGAAAAGTCACTTGTGGAATTGTCATTGAAATGTAGATTAAAATGAAGAAGAGAGTACGTCATTTTATCTGGAATATGAAAATAACTAGAAATGTTTAGTAGATATTGTTGGAAATTGGGTTATGCAAGTTGGATTTTACCAATTATTTAAGAGGGATTTATGAGTTAGATATGAGAGTTCTTTGGCCAGATAATGTTCTGCTTCACGAGTAGACTGGTTGACGAATGAAGTTGGTTGGAAAATGAAGTCACTTATTCCACGTTGGAAAATTAGATGCTATATGTTTAATCAAAGGTAAGATTCTTGTACTTTAATTAAAATGAGATTTCTATTCAAAATGGAAGATAAGTTTGAATTTGTTTGGCACTCTACACAAGTACCTATCATCAAAGAATTTAATAGACAATTCAAATAAATTTCTAATTAATGATAATTTCTACAAAGGGCCACATCTTGAATTTACACATCTCAAGTTGGAAACTTCTGTTAGGACATTAAGAGATGAGCCATTTTGTGTGCACAGCTCGACACATCGCACGGCTTACAACCCGCTCACATGGGGGGGAGGGGGCAATAAAAAATGGGGGGGGGGGGGGGGGGGGGGGTTGGGCATTAAAAAATGGCACGGGCTTCACATCATTGTGACGGGGGTGTACATGTACAACACCTTTTGGTGTTGCACAAACTACTTCTTCCTTAGAGGATACCCCCAGTTTTTGACAAGTGGAGAATATGTAAATTGGTGGGTTTGGATCAAAGCCTACAAAACGCTCGCCAATGGCCCCGCACAGGGCGAGAGCTTGGGCAGTACTATCATTTTAAAGAAATGAATAATTAATAAATATTTATTACCTTCCAAATTAGAATTCTTGGAAAGTAACAAGTGACATTAACAAGACTGTGTCACGAGTCAACTGCTCTAGAATTAATGCCCTTTTCAAAATGAGTAATGTTATTCAACCTCGTTAGTGCTAACACTCGCCTAATTGATGACTAAATGATGTTAATTGATAGATTCATTTAAATGGAAGATTACATTATTCATTTAATTATACCTACCAAGTATAACAAGCTCGCTGTTGTGCAGTATTACTCTTTTTTAAAGTAGAATGTCCTTTTCAATATACCAAAAGCAAATTCTCTTGTGCTACCAAGTATGACAACCTAAATTGATGTTCTAACATCACCGTTGCTATGCAGTATTATTCTTTTCCAATAGAATGTCTTTTTCAATGCAACGAAAGCAGATTCTCTTGTGCACTGGTGAGCGCTTCCATCTTACTAGGATCCACAGGGCAGATATCAAGTACAAAACATTACACACCTTTACCAAGCCATAGAGCTGGTTACGTTATCTACATCACACTAATCTGGGATTACTATATAACCAAATGTAGTAAAAAACCAACCAATCAAATTTTTACAGCTTATAAAACGAGCTATACATAACGCAATCGGTGAGAAGAAAAAAGCTGCTTGCCGAAGAACCAATGCCAAGGACCACTAAGCCAATCCATATCACCTGTGGAACGTAGATAATCATGAGATAAAGATCAAAATCTCGAAATCACAGCGCTGACATGCTACTAGGGAAATGCTGATTGGACTTGGACTTGGACACGAGTGTCAATAAAGGTGCCAAAACTAGAGTGCCAACACAATTTGAGATGTTTGACCCAGTGACTCAGAAGAGAAAAGGGCCATGTCGATAATGTCCAGCAATTGCTTTTCTGAGGTTTTATATTAATTATCTAAAGCAAATAAACTCTCTTAACCCATTTTCAAGAAAATAATACGTACCACAAATTTAAAATATATGACCTGAAGTAGTTAATCTGTAAATAGTAACTGTAACTTATTGTTCATCATGTCTGTCTCACGTGTTATCTCAGTCGTAACATGGGAAACAGGGTGTGTTTAAGAAAGACTCGTACCAACTCCGACCAACTGATGAAATTTCAAATAAATCAACAAAAGAATTCGCAGTACCTTATGATTTTCCTGCATAAAGATCTTATTTTTAAGAAATACTATTAAAGAAACATAAGAAACAGAGAATCCAGTACTCTCAACAACAGATCATACAAAAACCACCACCACCACCACCACTACAGAAACAAATAGCAACCTAACCGCAAGAAGAATTGTAGATTTAATTGATTGGCGCTGCCTCTGCTACATCAAATCCAGAAGTTGATTATATGGACAATAGCATAATCTTGCAATTACAACCAAGATTCGAAGTGCCATTCTGCCTGCAACGTAAGTTACCCCGATGAAAATACAAGCAGAATCTCTGGAGAGACACCAAAAAATACAATAAAAAAAGTGGCCAAATCCAAGATTGAAACCAGACCTTGTTCAACATATTTTGAAGCTAAAACATGAAAAAAGAACCAATTGTAGTTTGCTGAAGCACCTTTGAACTTCGATCAAGCCCATGAGAGGCCACCTGAAAGGCAAAATCACAAGTTACACACACACACACAAAGCCTAATAACTTGTACTCAAAGACCAAAAATTGAAGATCAAATATCCCCATAAGACTCCTGTACAAAGTATTAGGCTTACTCAAAAAGATAACCTTCGAATTGAAAAATAAGAAATCTCTTCTTTTACGCCTTATCATGGCATTACCTTCCATTGAGTTAAAAGGGCTTATTTGATTTAATTCTCGGATGAGTCACTATGTAGAAAAAATTTGTACTTTCGTACTCGTATTGTATTTGCTTCTCATTGGTTGCGAGTGTTGAACCGATCTTAGAGAGTAGGTAGGTGGCTAGGAGAGGGGCAAGTAATAATTTAAACAACGAATTTGTAAATCGAATTCTAGGTCTAGACAACTAATAAAAATAAGCTAGCTAATGAAGAGATTATTGAAGGGGTAGTGAATACACCTACCCATAATGATCATGATTCTGAAGGCAATCGCGTTTTATCATCTGTTTCTCAAAAAGAAATCTTTGAAGCAATATGTCACAAACCGCAAGGGAGAGACTTGAGGCTTGGCATGACACAGAAATGTCATGGCACTAGATGGGAAAATGAGATAGGCCTATAGCAAATCATGTCTAAACTTCTGCGATAGATGGCGATGAGGGCGTCGCCTAATTTGGTGGGGAAATGACTTACGTTTTCCACGGTCACGACCGATACGTCCAAGATGCAGCTGGAAAAATCGAGTAGCGCCGACAATGGGCTCTTGCGGTAGTACAAGACACAGGTTGGAAAAACACAAAACCAGCATAGGTCTCGCGACAGGGGGAGCAAAACTCAAGAACGTACAGGCACTGCGACAAAGGATGCAGGTAGCAACACAGGTAGACTGTGCAGACAAATGCACGTAGTAAATATAATTAGGTTGTGTAGGCACCACGTAGACCAGGGAAACATCAGCAAGGGGCACAGGGACGAAAGTGGGTTTTTCTTAGGTGAAAACCACTGTCATGGGAGGGAGAAATACCGTGGACAACGACCAGTGGTTTTGAATGCAAGCAGGTGCCAACTTGTGCAACTTACACGAGGAAGCCAAGTCCAAGTTGACTACTACAAGCTTGATGGAGAAAGCAAAGTCCAACTTACCCACTATGATGAAGACATGCCCATTTGCATATGAGTTGTAGAGTGTACACTTGCATGAAAAGGGACATGTCAACTAGCATAAAGTTGGAAAGGGGCATGGACCTTATAACATGACAACTTGCAAGTGAGGAGACATGCAACTTGCAAAGTAGCAAATTCCAACTTGACTACCGTGTGGTCTAAGGAGGTGGATGACAACTTGCAACCAATAAGAACCTTTGGATCAAGATTAATCCTAGCTATTGATGCCAATTTGCCTAACAAGAGTTTGCCTATAAATAGATGTGTTGGGTCATTTGT